CTGAAGATGTCGGCACCATGTGACGAGCAGATGCTGCACGCAAAACCGATGCATGACGAACGGAGTCATCAGTCCTAAGTACTGGACCTAAAAGGAGGGAGTTAATAATGGAGTGGGGAGAGGAGGAAGAAAAAGTATATGAAAAAGAAAGAAGGGAGGCGTCAGCAGTAGTCTGTTTTCGCTTACCCGTCCTGCTGTGTGCAGCAAGTAAGGCGACCCGGCTGATGGCACCACGCAACGGCCGATGTGGCATGAGAGTATTGTGAATTGTGAGTGTCATGGTTGTACGAGAGCTGGGATACTGCCAGGGCGCCCACACCTGACAGGAGGATGATTAGGGTCCTCAACCAAAGCCTTTGGCTCAAAAGCCTAACCGCAAGGCAGCGGTGTTTGGCGGGAAATGCAACTGCATTACCATTTCTACGGAACAAGTCGCCACATGTTTCAACCCCCAACCTGGAGGACCAGGAGACTGTGTTCGTCAGACCCCTAACCATTGACCAACCTGGTATGAGAGACTCTGAGTGTCATGGGACACTCCCCATAGCTCATTGGATCGTTGAGGTGCGCAAACCGTCACACCACAGTAAGGTTCAGTCTCTTCGTGACGGGTATCACAATTTTTTAGTTTACCGAAGCGTGCCTTTGAGGAACTAAAGCGTTCTGCTTGTGCTCTGAAGTCTCCAGCTATGACTACTGCATTAGAGCTCTTCGTAATGGATAGGTGTTAGTTCCAGATAGGAAGTACCGTTCACCGAACCGGGGCTACTATTTTGTGGTGCATAATTAGGAATCGCAAGTAGGGATATATTGGTTTCCGATTATTGCAGGTTCTTATGAGGAACAGACGGTCGGACAGCACAGATTCCGCTATTTACGGGTATCTATTCGGGCCATTCACGAACTAGGGGTTATGCAAACACCAGCAGATCCTGCTGCGACAGCTACATAATCTCGTTTTTGGTGTCTAGACATTGAACTTGCTGTAAGCTCCATCGCGATGCTTTGTTCAGGTGTTCAGCAGATGTCTGTTCTAAAGTGCACGCGGACTCGGTTTGCTGGTTAATTTGCTCAAGAGTTCACCCGTTAGAGGCTGTAATAAAGACAGGAGAGCGATTTGATTGATTTGACTGGTTGTTGATTGAATAGTTTGATCCATCGCCCCTAGAAGCCTGGTGGATCTGCCTACACTCGAACCTGTAGAAGAGTGCCTTGTATACCCGTCAAGAAGTGACTGGATCTTGCCGCAGTGTGACGGTCTGCGTACCTCCATAACACAATGGGCTGTACTGGGGATTGTACGTTTGACAGTCACATGCCTACCATAGTCTCCTGGTCCTTCCGATTGGGGGTCGCAACATGTATGGCGACTTGCTCCTTAAAAGTGAATGCTGTCCTGGCGGTGTTACACTAACCCCTTTGAGCTCGAGATGACTCAGTAGTTAGGGCGCGAACCTACTGATCGGGAGATCCCTGGTTCGAAAGCAACCTTGCTACCTCGACTCCTGTCTAGGTTTGTGAAGCCTGGCAGTATCCCATCCTTCGTGCTTCTTTCGGGTGGCATGGCAGCTAGAACCGAAAAGTTGCCACAGCCGGAGGACTTACCAACCACCGCTCCCTTACAGTTAGGCTTTTGAGTCAGAAGCCTTGATTGAGGACTCTACTCGTCTTCCTGTCTAGGTCTCCGGCCCTTGCCGGTATCCCAGCGGACTAGTTGAAGACTAACAATTGATCTCCAAGGTTTGGTTGTGTGTTCCGTTTCCCGTTTTCCGGTGATCGAAACTAGCAACTGAAACTAAGCTACCTATGGTACATGGTTTATAGCTGACAAACTGAATGTTTATTCATTTATGTAGGTAATAAGAATCATTCAGCTGTAACACCCTTTCAGTGATTAGTTGCCATGCCACCCGAATGAAGCATGAGGGCTGGGATACTACCAAGTTGCCCAAGCCTAGACAGCGGAAGTCGAGAGGTGGAGGTCGGGTCCTTCCGGACTCTCCGGTCAGTAAATTCGCGCTATAACTACTGAGCCAGCTCGCCCCCCTGCGGGTACTAAAGGTTTGTGTAATCTGCGCACGGGACCTAATGAGTTTTGTGTTTTTGCCCTAGGCAATTTTTATTCATCGTGTCAGTTCAGAGTTGTTCATCGAACTTTTTTTTCGTTTCAGACGCCGTGTAATGCGCTTTCTTAAAAAGCACCTCTCATCTATTCTCACTACTATGAGGACTCTATCTTCCTGTCTAGGTCTCCGGCCCTTGCCGGTATCCCAGCGGACTAGTTGAAGACTAACAATTGATCTCCAAGGTTTGGTTGTGTGTTCCGTTTCCCGTTTTCCGGTGATCGAAACTAGCAACTGAAACTAAGCTACCTATGGTACATGGTTTATAGCTGACAAACTGAATGTTTATTCATTTATGTAGGTAATAAGAATCATTCAGCTGTAACACCCTTTCAGTGATTAGCTGCCATGCCACCCGAATGAAGCATGAGGGCTGGGATACTACCAAGTTGCCCAAGCCTAGACAGCGGAAGTCGAGAGGTGGAGGTCGGGTCCTTCCGGACTCTCCGGTCAGTAAATTCGCGCTATAACTACTGAGCCAGCTCGCCCCCCTGCGGGTACTAAAGGTTTGTGTAATCTGCGCACGGGACCTAATGAGTTTTGTGTTTTTGCCCTAGGCAATTTTTATTCATCGTGTCAGTTCAGAGTTGTTCATCGAACTTTTTTTTCGTTTCAGACGCCGTGTAATGCGCTTTCTTAAAAAGCACCTCTCATCTATTCTCACTACTATTCAGAATTTCACCAAGGTTGCTGCACCGGGAGGCAGAAGCAAACGCTTGTACGAAATACAGGAGCATTATATGTCAACTGAATCATGCCTAAAGGTGGATGAATCAGATAGGGTTTTGGGTTATGCTTCCAAGAAAGTTTGTCTTATTTTATTCCAAGTAAGCAATCCATCTACAGGACTGCCACGAGGTTATAGACGGTGCAACCCCACCTTTACACCGGGCCTTCAGCTTGTTCTTATTTCGAAAACTTCAACCCTGCCTACCGGATTCTCCTCTACAGCTACTTATACAACGTCGAGCTGCGTCGAAGTTTACCTAATAGCTGACAGAATGTTTATTCATTTATGTAGGTAATAAGAATCATTCAGCTGTAACACCCTTTCAGTGATTAGCTGCCATGCCACCCGAATGAAGCATGAGGGCTGGGATACTACCAGGTTGCCCAAGCCTAGACAGCGGAAGTCGAGAGGTGGAAGTCGGGTCCTTCCGGACTCTCCGGTCAGTAAATTCGCGCTATAACTACTGAGCCAGCTCGCCCCCCTGCGGGTACTAAAGGTTTGTGTAATCTGCGCACGGGACCTAATCAGTTTTGTGTTTTTGCCCTAGGCAATTTTTATTCATCATGTCAGTTCAGAGTTATTCATCGAACTTTTTTTTCGTTTCAGACGCCGTGTAATGCGCTTTCTTAAAAAGCACCTCTCATCTATTCTCACTACTATTCAGAATTTCACCAAGGTTGCTGCACCGGGAGGCAGAAGCAAACGCTTGTACGAAATACAGGAGCATTATATGTCAACTGAATCATGCCTAAAGGTGGATGAATCAGATAGGGTGTTGGGTTATGCTTCCAAGAAAGTTTGTCTTATTTTATTCCAAGTAAGCAATCCATCTACAGGACTGCCACGAGGTTATAGACGGTGCAACCCCACCTTTACACCGGGCCTTCAGCTTGTTCTTATTTCGAAAACTTCAACCCTGCCTACCGGATTCTCCTCTACAGCTACTTATACAGCGTCGAGCTGCGTCGAAGTTTACCTATCCGAATCTGTGGTCTAACACATGCTGCAGTCATCCTATTGTAAATCTGCCGTCGGAGCTGGTTGAAGAAAATGCCTTGGGGGTGAGATTAGCAGCACAGCGGAAGGTAAGTATGTGTGCTTTTCCTCTGTTTGTGTTTTCTGTCGCCGTTTCGGCGAAATTACATATGAAATTACATATGAACACTCGATGATGATACATTTGTAGGTGTCTTTCTGCAATAAACTATGGCCCATTGTTTATAGGCGATCGCTGTCGATCTCGTACGGTGTTGAGTAGGTACACTTGTATGCGTGTAAACCGTGTAGCTGTAGTTAATCGATATAATTCGCTACGAGTTTCCCACGTTAATACTAACTACTTTGATCCTGGACAACAAGTTTGAATTGATGAGGAATTATTTGGGAGCAGCTAATGGGTCGGTCGATCCAGGTATTCAGGTTTGAAAACAAACAGGGAGACACTACGTCTTTCAATAAACCGAAGGGTATGCAGCGCTTCAGTCCCACTGCATGATTGGTCCACATCAAATGATTCACCGGCTTTGCGCAAATGGTGTGTCGTGTATGAACAACACACTGACGAATCGGAATCTAACCATATGTGTACACACACCGCCGAGCAGGCACACCAGTTCCTGCTAGACTGACACCACTTGGCCACTGAGTTGTCTAGATGTCCAGCCGATGTCTAGCTGCGATAGTTCCGGGATCCTCCCAGTGCGTTTTGGTTTTGTGAAAGAAACCATTGACGTTTCATGCCTATTTTGATGTCTCTCTAAATCATGAGTCTCTTGAGGTTGATACAAATGCGACAGCGAAGCATCGTTGGTGAACACTGATGTCATACTGTTGATTGTGATGATGACGATGATGATGATGATGATGATGGTGATGATGATGATGATGATGATGATGACGATGATGATGATACATCTGCTGTTGCTTGGTAGCTGAAGCGAGACCATTCATTCTTCCATAAAACACTACCCGTCGAACAAAACTAATCAGCGTTAATTGCGGAGTCGGATAAGAGGAAATGAATTGTTACTTCTTATTTTAGTGAACAGTCTGAGGGACCACCAGCTTGGAGGCCAACCGACTGAACACATACCTTGCATAGGCCGTGAGTGTGCTGTGAGTATGGGTTGTATAGCAGTCCCTAGACAACCAAAAAATCGTCCGGCTGTAGCACCCTTGCGGTGCCTAACTGCCATGCCGCCCGAAGGTTGCACGAGGGCTGGGATACTGCCAGGTTGCCAAAGCCTAGACAGGGGAAGTCGAGAGGCAGAGGTCGGGTTCAAGCCATGAACCTTCTGGTCAGTAAACTCGCGCTCTAACCAATTGGGCCATCTCGCTCCAGGACAACCAGCTGATATATGGAACCGGTAACGTGCTTACTATCAGAGTTGTTTGCCTCGTCCCTTAGCGTCTTTCGTATTTCATGCCTTCGCACATCTCAAGTGGACCTGCCGCTGTCTGGTCCAGACTGTTTGGATGTTTGTGGCATGTTAGCCTCAAATCCCTTTCTCTTTTTGTTGTGGGTCACTAAATAGAATGACTTGGTCGTACTTCAGTTTAGTACCAGTGTTCTGACACTGGTGAGATGGCTGTGGTTGGAGCGCAGATTTATTGAATGGAAGGTCCATGGTTTGAAACCGACCTCTGCATCTCGACTTCTCCTGTCTAGGTTTGGGCAGTCTGGTAATATTCCAGCCCTCGTACTTCCTCCGATGGCAGACGGCTAGGCATCGAAAGGGTGTTACAGCTGAATGATTGAAGGAACACTGATGTTTCTTTCAACGGTAATGACAACAACAAGCGCGTGCTTGACGCAACATGATAAAAGCATTGACCTGGTGGATCCGATGATTCGGACGTTCAGATGAAGAACGAGCGCACCGATTTCGCATTTTCGAATTTGGACGGTCGGGTTTCCGTTGAGAGCGATAGATGCTCGAAGTACAGCTAAGCATCGCACACAGTACTGGAACCGGGCAGGCGAAAAACGTCACAAACGTGATTGCTGTTCAGCTTTTCAGGACGCACTTACTCCGTTACCACTTGACCCGGTTATTGGCTTTCTGTGTGTTTTTCGCACGCCATAGTAGGCTTCGAGCTCGAGGTTGTTCCGTTGGTAAGGTGTGAACTTACTGACCCAACCTCTTCATCTCTGATACTGGGCAACTAGGCAGTAACTCAGCGCTCGTGCTTCCTTCGGGTGGCATGGGGACAATGCATCGAAACGGTATTTCAGCTGGATGGTATGTTTTTCGCGTTTTGATTCAGTTTTGTTTCGGCAACTGCAGATTCCGTTTTTCGGGCAGTGATGTGGCAATCGAGAAGGGAAAGGAGGTAGTGAGCTTCGTAGTTTCAACGAAGAATGGAGAATGAACCCTTTTTTGTGCAAGACACTGAAGCGTTCTTAAGCCGTGAGACGTGGCGACATTCTGTCATGCTGTAAATTTCCTTTGGATCAACTTCTGCTCGTCACATATCTTGTAGGCAAGGTGAGATAAGATATCATCAAGTACTCTATGGAAGACGTTCATTTGTATCTTTCGTCGCGAAACTTGTACTCCCTCCAATAAACGTCATCTGATCCCGTACACACCATTGCTGTCAGTTTGAAACATCCCTTGTATGGTAGTTCGGACTTTCGTACTTGAATGCGATAGATATTTGTCACGGTTTTGCGAACTTTAAACTAAGATTGGCATGTGTGGAGATTTAGTGGCCTACACGTGACAATTTTAACGCTCGGTTTTATGCTGGTTGTGTAAATTGTATCTAGCATGCGGATACATTGGCCCTAAAGCCGCCGTTGATCGGAATGGTCTCTCTAGTGGCGGAGGATAGAAACTGTTCTAGTAGCTGTTCCTTCATGCGCCTAATTCTACCGCATCAGTGCCTGTTCTTTAATTCTAGAATGAGGACGGTGTAGTTTTTGATTCGGTGACCCATTTACCTAGGCCCCCCGAGAACAGAGAAGCGTCAACGGCAGTTTAACGGGACATGCCAGTGCGATCACTGTTGAAGGTTGGTTTCTGCAGCGGTCACGAGGGTTCACCGTACCTGCCGGCTGTGATGGCCAGTAATTGAAAATTTTTATAGATCGCTGTTCCGGAAAGTGATTTTGGGCTAGCGAACCCACCCGTGTAGACCATTCATTTGCGCACGTTAGTCAGTGAGTATCTTACGATGATCTTTTGATCCCTCTTAGTATAACACACGTATCGAACAAGTGCTGAGAGCCTTCCAGAAACGGATAAGACAAGTACACGTTGGGCTTTTTCTCCTGAGAACATACAGCTTCGGTATCTAGCCAGATGTTGGACCAGGAACTGGTCTTCATTCTTGTGTAAATGCAGTTAGGAGCGGATAAAACAAGTACACGTTGAGCTTTTTCTCTTGAGAACATACAGCTTCGGTATCTAGTCAGATGTTGGACCAGGAACTAGTCTTCATTCTTGTGTAAATGCAGTTAGGAGGGGTTGTGCCAACTGTCTTGGCATACAGGCTAATTTTTTGCCCGTCAACTGTTATAGAGGCTTGTACAATGGTCTTCCTTAAAACCGGAATCTAGTGAGCTCTCTATAGCTAATGAGGCAGTTTCTAGATGGATTGTACCTGTCAGTGTATGTTGCTCTCATGTATGCTTGTGGTGGATACTGACTCTGACGTAACTTTTAGTAATTACACTTTTTCAGATCGAACACGAGCTAGGGATGCGTTCTGAATCCGTCGTCCCTTTATCTTCCCTTCACTTCCTCACACGATTCATTTATTCCGCACCAAATGAACCGTCAGACAATTCTCAGTGGGCTGAACATGAGATGGACTACATTTTGGTCAGTATTCTGGATCCGAAAATAGGTAGGTTGTCCTCGGTTTAGGACTTGGTCCTTTCAGCGACTGCATTCCCTACCGTAGTTCCCTACACAACCAAAACAAGTGATTGTATCTACCTATGGCCAGCCTGAACTTCCTAAAGCATCTTGTTGGATGCAATTTCATCCCTGACTACCAACAACCACTTTTGGAACCATAAGTCCGGTCTTTTAACCTGATCGTTCGGTCCATTCCCGTCGCCTTTGTCAAACGAGCTTTCCCACATCAAGGGAGTTGACAAAATCAGAAGAACGATTTTCTAAGAAAGGTATTGTCGGGGACTTTCCTCAGAATGAAGGATTGAGACCGAACTACTTGTGATGTTTTCATCCGTTTACTATCAGGTAACTTTCTCAGTTCCATTGAATGAGCCGTCCTTCTAGCTGTTCTGGGGACCCTGGCGTTAGAAGAAATTCGGGATGTATTTCATTGTTTTTCGGGATTATCGACGAATCCTTGTACATAGCCTGCTTTCCGGACCGACCAAACTTAGTAGCTCTAGTTAAATGCAGAATTGCTGTAAAATCACTGGATCAGACAGAGCTGACAATATTTATTTTTTTCTTACCTTTGGCGTGTTCCTTCCGCGACAGTTACAGTCTCTGTCGCTTTTGTTCCTCATCGTCGACACTCATTATTGTCCGATCTACGAAGGTTCTCTTTTCAAGAGGCCTGTCGCAAGCCGGCGACCAATGAGTGAGGGCATCAATTTTCTCATCTTCGCTGTCCGTCGATGTGTTGCTTGGCCATTTGTGAATGTCACCGGGAAAGTTTCCGAAAACTACACATTCCAGACTATGAACGTGTGTTTGAAGAAAAAATCTCCACGAATCGCGCGGTCGCATCAATCGCAGTCACCCAGGTCGACTAGAATGTCCTCACTTGCACGTACCGTCTTTTGCTACTTACTCAGTTTTGTTTATTTGAGTCCAGCAGGGGGCAAGAACAAACTGCAGTTTGTCCTCATCATAACGATGCATCCACCTTTCGTCACCCTCGGGAGCGATCGCTTTACATTTCCCATATTTTTAGATAATATTGTTATCAGACATGCATCGAAAAGACAAACCCATTTAAACAGGACTTTATGTTCGATTTTATCCAAGGCCTTATTCCCAATTAACCCCAAAAGTTACGTTTCTAATTATTTCGGAGTTTCACCTAGATTTTTTTGTATCCTACGTAGTAGTAACAAAGACGTTTTGAGACTTTGAAAAACTGTCGTCCTTTCAAACAAGGATGATCTAGAGAAGGTGGCTATTTTTTGTGTACCAACGGGGTTGCGAAGTGACTACGGGAGGGAAAACATGACAAACCGAAGCGAAAATAACGTGACTCGTGTTTTGAGAAAAATAGGTCCTTATGGATATCGGAAAATTTGGGAATTTAGGCTGGAGGTAATAAAAAACCCAAATATGAACCAGAATGGAATGTTAGCATTAGACACACCTTCCATCGGTATTCCGCTTGCAGAACTATAATTTAGGCTGACGTAATAAAAAACCCAAATATGAACCAGAATGGAATGTTAGCATTAGACACACCTTCCAGCGGTATTCCGCTTGCAGAACTATCTCTGTAACTACGTCAGAGCTCACAGTGTGAGTTTATCGATTACGAACATGACGGAGCCAATGTATGGTTAGTGTTTGGGTTTAGTTTGATGGTAGACCGTACAGACAAGTAGGTGGCGGTGCAACGGAGTCCCAACTGGGACCGAAATTGTCGTCGAATTAATGAGGTGTCTGGGAATTTGAAGTCTCCAATAGAGTATTCAGCGGTACCTAATTCACGATGTGGGGACGATATGTACGCCATAACGGGCGTTTCCTCACTCGTCTTCGACATCTTGAAGCAGTTACTCTAGTTTGCAGTTGAGTTCTCGTAGGGTAGGATGACAGGGCAGTGCATAGATTTCGATTACTTTGTTTAATCTAATAGGGTGGTAGAGCGAAAAACCGTTGCTACGGAAGTGAGACACAGCAGAAGTGGTTACTGGCTAACAATCTCTGCTGATAAGATTTCCCGAACCGATTTACTTGAAAATACGTGGAAAGTAGGCTGCAGCGGGACCAACTGATTTTAATGGAGGCAATGGTCAGTTTTCATGTGTTTTTCACAGATCTAGTGGCAAGCTGTCTATTATATCGAACGTCAGACATTTCCGGCGACAATATGTGGAACCTTGTTTACAATGATCCCGCTAATATTTGCCGGTGTTAAGGACAGATTACCCATGGAAGCACACAGTTTGGTGATCTGTTCGTTTTTTGCTGATCAGTTTGGATGAATGGCCGGGTAATTTTATAAAAGAAGCATGAGGTGTAGGGAAATTGCTACAGACTATGTGGCTGTGCAACCAATCAACACGTCTGAAGCAACACTAATTTGCGCGCACAAGCCTACAGTATGCGATGAAAAACGTTTTGTTGAAGCACCGAAGTTGTCACAGTCTTTGGCTCATGCAACTGATTGCTGCGTAGATTGGTCGATGGGGTCTTAGTTTTCGGTGCATTTGAAAAGTTGTGCTCGTTCGTTTCGTTTGGTGGTATATCGATTAATTCATCCAGATGTCGACAACTGGTGAAGGGATCTCGAGGACCTGAGTGCTGATCAACCTTTGTGTTCTCTATTGGGAATGTCATTTTTACTGACTCCCATGTGTGTGGTAATAAGCGATTTCACCGTGTACGTTCTTGATTTCCTGTTGATTGCGCGACTGTGCACACTTCTCTGAGTCAGTAGTACTTTTTTCTAGAGATTTTGTCCAAAAGATCGTTCCCGAGCGCTTTGTACCTTCGCATCCTAACCCTACGCCCGAGAATACTTCCTTTCACTTCAGCTTTCTTTCAGCTTTGGCTTGTACCGGAAAGTTGTTTGCTACTTTTGCTGACTTTTCTGCTTTTTTTTGCGCAAATTCCTCACCTCAGNCCTTCAGCTTTGGCTTGTACCGGAAAATTGTTTGCTACTTTTGCTGACTTTTCTGCTTTTTTTTTGCGCAAATTCCTCAGTATATTAGGATTACATCATAGGCTATCTGGAATTCTGTTCCGATCAGTACCCCTTATTTAAGTTCACTTTGCCTGGTGGTAATCAGTTCCTAACTTAAACCAAATTCCAACGGTAAAACGAGCTTGCAAAATGGGACAACGAGTCGATGTCCTACACTTTTCAGAGCTCGTGACGAGACGTCTAAGCTACACTGGCAATAAAACAGTCATAGGCAAAAATTGTAAAAGGTGGCCTGTCTTGAAGCAGCTCTGTGGCAGCAGACTCAATGCAAGCACGAGAATCTCAATTATTAGTTCTTCAGGATGTCTCCTACTCCGTCCTCAGAAACACCATTTTTATCTCCCTAGTCGACGATCGTCCTACATGATGGGAATTGCCCTGTTATGTTGTTTCCGGATGTTTAAAAAGATATACAGTCCCTTCCCAGCTGTTGATTAATCCAGACTTGTCTTTCTGGATCAATTCGGCTCATTGAGCGCGCTTCCCATTGGTTTAGGCCTTTTGAAAGAATATCCAGCTTACTCATAGACGCTCGCGCTGTATGCTTGGTGTTTGTGCATTGGTTTGCTCCAGAACCCATCATCGTCGTCATCACCATCGACGACACATCAGTGTTCAGCACTGATAATTCGCTACCTTGCACTCACAATTCGTCTGAAAGCCTTGCGAAGAGAAGGATAAATGTGAATGAAGAAGGGATTAGTGCTATTCTGTCACAATCATTCCTGGATTCCTATAACTCCAAACACCCATTCAGGTAATCTGGATAGAAACTGACAACTAGAACGCCGTCGACATTGATTAGCTGTCATATCTTGTAGCGTCTGCAACCATGCTCAGTGAGAATCACGCGGACCTCATCCTAGAAGGTGATTCGTACTGACAATGCCCGGACCTGGTAATCGATTTACTTTACCTCTGCCGGGTCAAAGGTTTACCACTTTTCTGCCTTATCAGAATCGGATACGGACAATGGCACTCTTCGGCAAACGGTGACTCGCTGCCTGCAATACATTTCCAAACTACCACAGCTTTTGGCGCTGGACGCATTCCTTGATCGAACTTCCTGTTGCACATCCGAATACTCATTTTCTGATTGCCTGTCGGAAACCTGGAGGCGTCTTGGTTCCGCTTGGAAGTCTTCTTTTCTAAGATGTAGGCAAACTGACCAAATAGGAGCTACCTAAGAACTTCACTCCTTCCTTGAACAATGCAGGTTAGAGGTCTTCCAAAACAGGATCGGTGCCGCTTAATAGAAGATATGCAGCTATAAGTCTCAGAGATTGTAGGGGGTTCCAGGTTCTGCTGCCGTTTGAGGATCCAGGTTAGTGGCAACAGATGGCCACGAAAATTGTTTAAAGTATGTGGCCGATGTTGCGCCACCTTGATCTTTCATGCTTGTGCTCACAGGCGGTTTCAGGAGAGCGACCAGGCAGGACAACTTGAATATTCCTCTGGAATTCATGGCCCTCTGGACTCTTCCATTTTTTAGCGTTTCGTGTCCACCAAGCTTTACGATAGATGCTCGCTGAGTTTCATCTGATTTCCGTTAATCCATCGGATCGAATTATGTTCGGGACCGGCAGAGGCGTTTCTCCGAGATTCAGTCAGCGCCACTGTTTTGTCCGGTATCCAGTGTTCCAGGTGACGTGGTAGCGCCGTGCCACAATGGAACACCTAATATTGTGTAAGAATGGGGTGATCTCGTTCAAGTTAGAATTGACGGTGCGACATTTAGAAGAGTCCAGAAGACGGTCCTGGTAAATTAGTCTAACTTCGACATCTGCCGGCCTGTCATTTTCTAAGCCATTAGTCCGTCCCATATGTTCCGTTACGCAGTTGCCGGAGTGTAGATATTACCACAGTGTCCTCTATAGAGGTCAGATCTCTTACCAAGCTTTCAGAAGTAGGGTGGATGGCTGGAAATAGACTATCTTTCATAACTTTCCTCATTAAAACCCGGCCAACTTCCAACGTTCTCAACAGTGGGATTGCGGTGACAGGGAGCCTCGTTATTCCGGCATGGCCACGACGGTGAATGCGTCTCATCCTACGCGCACTACTACCCTCCGGCCGACTACTGCCGTCGTGTTTTTCTGTAGTTTAAATTTTTATCAGATAAGCTAGAACGTATGTTCCAAGGGGCACCCAAATAGAGTTACGCGAGTTCCACAAATTCCAAATATAGGTCATATCTTATTGGAAACACAGGTGAAGTGTCTTAAACTTATTGGTTTATCCAATCATTGCTAAGAGATACCTTTAGTGCTCTTAAGCTTCGCCGGAGTGGACCTTAGTACATTGTTGATAGTAGAAGCTCGCGAGAAGAAATCCATGGACCCAAAATTGTAAGGCGATTGTCGTGTGTTCATCAATACAGCAACCACCACAACTTGATTAACTTTTAACAAATGACCTAGTTACTCACTCTTCTTTCCTTGATTTTGTGCACTATTAAGAGAGATGACCACATCCACAGACCTATTTGAAATTTTTACCAATCAGATCTCGCAGCAATAAAAAAAATCATTCAGCTGTTGCATGCCTTCGGTGCCTAGCTGCCCAGCCAACGGAAAGAGGCATAAGGACTGGGATACCGCCAGGTTGCCCAAACCTAGACAGGAGCAATCGAGATCCTGAGATTGGGTTCGAACCATTGACATTCCGGTGAGTAAGTTCGCTCCTTAACCACTGAGCTATCTCGATCAATAAGGGACATTCGTTTTAGTTCAAACTGTCGTCCGTGGGAACAAACTAAACCAGCCTGGGTTAAGTAGTACTCAGGACAAACGTGATCCCCCTTCGTAAAACATGCACATGTCCTCAGTGCGAACGACGAGCAAAGTTCAGCATCATCTGAGCTCGAGGCTACGAGTAGGATGTTCACTCGCGCCTATGGCTACGGAAATGCGTATTCAAATGTGCGGAAATAATGCAATGCAAAAATCTTGAAAATTAACGAGGCGGAAGTAATGAAACAATCGGGGTGGCGTACCGGAAATTATAAATTACCCCGTAAGTACATGGAAAAAACGAACCAACCACCAACTACCCTTGGAACAATTTCGTTAAGCCGATCTACATTATTGTTGTTGAGAAAAGGTTTTCAGAATTTATATCCTTATCGTATCTTTCTGATGCACCTACTTGTCTCACCACACAGTTTTGTTCAGTCTTTAATGGATGTGTAGTTTACAGAGACAGATGCGGAGGCGTCGAGTCATTTGACAAGCAGTCTTTGTTAGTCTGTTGGACGGTCTTCCGACACAGGTCCAATCTACATAATCTATACGGAAATTGCTTTTATACCTTTTTTCCAAGTTTGATGACCGCAAGGCGGGCCGCCGATCTTTTCGCGGTTCGGGTTTTAATGTTTTACCCTAGAACTTATCTTTCACGGGGCATTTCATTTAAGTACTGCAAGTTCTACCAAAGACGGACCATATCTCATACGAACCGCAGGTCTTCAACTCATCGTTTCATGGGAAGGTTGCCAACAGAGGTGCCTTCAGTGCTTCGGAAATTCCGGATTGATTCCAACTGCATTCTACGTAGCACAAGCTGCGCGTTGATGTTCACTCAACTGCACCCAGGGGTTAAGGCGCTAATTTACTGACCGGAAGGTTTGTCGTTTCAACCCAACCTCTTCATCTCGACTTCCCCTGTCTAGGCTTGAGCGACCTGGCAGTATCTCGGCCCTCGTTCTGCTTTCGGTTGGCATGGCGACTAGGCACCAAAAGAGTTACGGCTGATTGGCTGCTTCCCACTGTGTTTTCCTTCCTTATTGGTGATTCGTCACCAGAGGGAAGGACCGTCTTACTATTGCACTTCCAAATTTGTCCTTTTCCCGTATTTTTAGTGCCGGATTTCTTAAAACTTGAGTCTACCATTTTATTGCGAGGTTGCACCGCGTATCCTTGTATCGGACAGTGGTCGGTAACTATATGTATAAGTGGTATGCATGTATAATCTCTCGTAATGGCTTCGCTCAATGAGATCGACCTGTTCTTTCAGATACAAACCTGGAATCAGGCCTCGTCAAACTGAATCCTGAGGAGGTCAGCGACGTCCAGTGGATAGGGGAGGATGATCTACACAACATATTGTTGCCAACCGGTGTTGAAACTGAACAGCAGGCTGTTAGCAGCAACAACCATTGTGACCTCAAACGACAAGATTTCACCCCTTGGGTACGTGGTCTCGCCTCCTCAGGCTACCTCCGTCGAATTTGGCGGTGGGCTGAGGAACACAGTGCTAATCGCAGCCATGCAATGGACTGCGAATCTAGTAGACCGGCTGTGTTCGACAAAGAAGCCATCATTCGTCTGGATAACTTCTGCAGTTAGCAAACACAAACTCTTGTTTATTTTATTATTTTCTTTTTGGACAATAAAATTTTTAATCTCCTGTCTGTCGATTTCAATCACGTTGGAAAATAAAGGTTCCATATGTTTTACTCAATGTGCGTAGATTGACTATTTCCAGTGGATCACCTTGTCGACCCGCTTTCAAAAGCTCTTTGATTCAGGGATCCTTCCAAGCACCAGTTGGAAATCGTAGTTGGAAGGCCAAACTTCACCTCAAGTTGGACGGTTTCGCCCGTCCGGATTGTTTTGGGATGGAGCAGCTGACCAAAGTATTTAATCGCTAAACCTTAGAGATTATTAATGAGCTTGCGTGCTCCGAAGCCCATATAAAGGTGAGTTTTTCTCTGAAATTTCGGTCTTTAACTTGGAGCGGGAAATTTTCTCCTTGGAGACCATTTCCCCCCATTATGGAAGAATGAGAGCGCTGATTGCCGTTTTTGAGGAGCTTACCACCACTGAAATGGACAAGGAGTCGGTTAATTCACAACAGCTAGAAAAGCACTTGATGAATTGGTTACCATTGATATAATAAAGATAAACAATTGCTAAAGCAGCAACTCCCGTTTGGTGCCTAGCTGCCATGACACCCGAAGGAAGCGCGAGGACTGAGATAATGTGAGGTTGCCTAAGTCTAGACAGGAGAAGTCGAGATGCTGGACTTGGGTTCGAACCACGGACCTTCTGGTCACGAAACTCGCGCATTAAGCACCGAGCTATCTCGACTTACCACCCATCATCTTCACCATCGATACTATAACGTCACTGTTCAACACGGATGCTTCGTTGATGTACAAGCATGGTTTTTTGAAAGCCTTTTTGTGAAGTAAATAATTAAAGTGGGCAAGGAAGGGACTTGCTGGTAGCTACTACAATCATTCCTGGGTGCCTATGCCTCAATACACTCATTCAGGAAATCTGGAGAGAAACCGATAGCGGGTGATAAAAAAGCGCTGATTGCTCTGGCTACTAAACGAAGGACCCTGATGTGACTCCCAGGTTTGCTGAAAGAATTCGGTTGTATGTGGTACATTGTGACGCCTATTCTCGATTTAGCCTAGTTTGGGAACACTGTGCAGTGCGTATCAACCTTGCGAAAGTCAGCATTACTGATTACTTGAAAAGCAATGAGTTTAATTTTTTTATATCTTCACAACTCATCACTTTGTACGGGCTTGGACTAAACATGTTGGTAATCATGAAGTATTTTACAGTCGCATTCTCGCCCAAGGGTATGTTGTTTCCTTCCATCGGCGTATCTTGCTTAATGGTTGTACTGTTTCTGAGCTGGTCTATCCCAAATATCTGGGTATACGGAGAAGTAACCTAGCATTAATTATTTTTACTGGGACGAATGAACCTATCTAGTTTCAACGTACAACTATTTCGGGATTTATTTTGATTTTCACATCGCTGTAGACGGGTTCTACCCGCGGGCCCCATCTTTGTACTCAGCTTCTGTTTTGATGAAAAAGTATGCCAGGAGGCCCATCAAAATGGGTTCAAGTAGAATATAAGGTTGATGTTGACTCGAGGACTGCGCCTACCTGGGTGAAACCGGTCGTGGGCTGTCGAAGAGTTCTCAACAACCTTGTGAGTAGTTTCCCTTATGGTTACAGTTACTTTTCAAGGACTTCATCCAACTCGTAATCTATTAGGTAACATCTCGTGAAAGGCTCAAGTGTCAAGTCTTTGGCCTTAATTATCTGTCGACAAGGATGACGTCATGTGACTGCTGCGTGAACAAAGTGTCTCCCTCTTTTTTAGCTTTTATCTCATGACATTTGAGCAACCACAACCCGGACAAACGAAACCTAGTTTAGTCGTCCCCTCAGCCGCAGTCACACAGTCATCGGAGACCAACAACAATGCATCGTCTGATCCATTGTTGGCCAATTTTTGGACCCAACTGGATCGGATCCAACCTACAGTAAGTATAAATTGCGGTTTCCTATAGTGAAAAGTTTCATTTTTCGGTTAGCATGATTGATGTACTGGGCATATTTGTGTGTCGAAAATAGTTTATCTATCGATGATTCAGAGACCCTTATCTTTTAACCCGGATTCCAGTCTAGGTTTTGGTCACTCCAGAGTCTTTCATGTAAAGGAAAGAGCAAAAGCGATGTAGTCTAGATGTCACAATCACTATACTAGATGACTAGGTTATATGGCTTACCACGTTTCCCCCATAGTTCTTATTCCGATGACTGGAATCAATTTTGGTGACAACTCTCTTCGAAAGACGAACGCAGAATCCACAATAATAAGACTGATCAACTGGTGCCAAAAGTGGGAGAAGATTGTGAGACCATTCCATAGTGTCGTCT